GGGGGGGGGGGGTTATAAATTGATTCATTGATGAAAACTATTATTAACAATAATAATTTAAAGAAAAACAAAATAAGCAAGTAGGTATACATGAAACAAATATTAGTCAAATACCAAAAACAAAGGCCTCCACTACTGAATAATGACCGACTTCTACTTAATTTTGCAAGCTGAAAAAACCCTTGGGTGTGGTGGGAGGGCTGATACTCCTTGTTCAGAACTCCTCTGTTGTTCACTGCTTATAAACATCAATTTATCAATTTATTTACCTAGRTGAGCATAAATATTTTTGGTTGTTTTGGTGCCATGTTATTATTTAAAATAATTTTAATAACATATTTCATAAAAAAGATAAAACCATGATAATATAAATTTAAAATCATGAATAATTGTATTGTTACAATTTTACAAACTAGTTATAACTATCATAGTTATAGTTAACTACATAATAAAAATATCTATTTAAAATGAAAAAAAAACTATATTAAAATCTTATTAAATTTATAATTACATTAAAAAATAATGTAATAATATCTAATTTATAGTATATATATAATACAGTATAGGAAATATAATGTCGAAAAATTATCGAGTTTAAAATAAAAAAAATAGATATTTTATTATATTTTAGTTTTAGTTTGATTAATCGTCAGTAAATAGGTACATAGGACTACATACACAAGTAAATGCCCAGGGGGGCAGTCGTTCTGTCGCCCCCTCCTTGATATACGCCCCTGTTGTAGCTTATATAAATAATMAAAAACTACTGAGCCAATTTGTTGAAAATTCAAGRTTTGAAGTTTCTCAAGRGAGTTGTCAAGAAAATTTAGAGAGTAGTTTGAACCAATTAAATTTGTGTAAAGTGCTATTGCTATATCCGATCCACCGTTGGAAAAAAGTCAATCTCTGACAAATAATTACATAACAAAGCGAGGTATACGTTATGATTATAATATTGAAAAGTATTAACAGTTTTTAACTATTTATTGTTTTTACATTTTTTTTTTTATTATTATAAATTTTCAATTGAGATGCACCAATACAAATTCATAATAATAAGAATTAATGAAAGGTGTAAATAAAACATCAAATCAAACAATACAAATTATTAATACATAAGTTTTATGGATATAGCTTACAAAATTTAACAATATATAATAATAATTATAAATA